ACAACGAACAAACCTGCGATTGGCTGATCGCGATGGAAATACGCGAGTTATTGTGGCGTTCGTTCACCAGCAGGCGGAGAATATCCCAATCGCCCCGAGCGGGTTGGAGTAATTCTGATAATCGAACTGCGCATGCTCCATTGCCGGATGTTGATACGATCGCTTTGGAATGATGGGATTAGAAAATACCGGGATTCTTGCGCGAGCGATTCACACACACGCCACGGCGGTGCAATTTAATCGCCGCTAATGTCAAATAAGTCGCAATTCAAAAGTGGCGGATCCTGCAGCGCGATCTGATCGCATACGTGCTTCAGTGAGATTTTTGCGTTGCAGCGACTTGTAAAAATCTCGTATTTCGAAGCGCGCGATGCAAAAACGAGATTTGCGATTCCCGCTAATTCCCGCGGCAGTGTGAACGCGCCTATTCGCACTGTTCATCTAGTGCAGGATCTGACAAAGTAACAGGTTTTAAACAGTAATGTAAACAATGTAATCAGTAATACTAGGAAATTATAACAGTGTATCATTAGTTGTGTAGAAGAAGTATATATAGACGTAGAAGAACAACGTATAGTCGTGTAAACGAACAGAATGTAAAGAAGCAGGTAGGCTGATTGATGTGATTGGAGTGTGCAGTTTCACGTGATTTATACGTTTCTGTGTAATTTCCTTACATCATGATTTGAACACGGTGGGGCTTGACTGAACGCAATAATTTCATGAAACAAATTGTGCTATGTATACCGTGTTATGTTCTAGTTATTGGCCGGCTTCTGAAAGATTTCATGAAACTGTGGCGCTGTAGAGGGAAAAATCAATGACACTCGTGAATCAATGAACGTATTGACATCCTTTTCCCTATCTGCAAATCCAAAGTTGCCAACAGCAACAGCAAAACGATTCCTGTGCGATATATAAAAGAGGTAACGGAATGCGCCAGTCACGTTTGTCAAATGTAGCCACCCATTTGTAAACATCCCATTTTCCCTATATAAGCGGGAATTTTTCAATATCCCAGCTCGCCAAATAACGTTCCGGGAATGTTTCCACAACGTCTCACGTATGTTCTAGAAGCGTGATGACGTTCATGGAAGGAAATTCTGCGGGCACCTCTAGACGTTCCCTGGATGTTAATTTTTAATTTTTAATAATAATAATATTTGTTAAATAACATTGTCACTGCAAGTGCAACCGTATGAGGGTCGCTATGTAGGATAGCAGGACATGCCACTTGGCTTACATCATGCTAGCAGTCTCACTGAATCTTTGGCGGTGGAAGAACGAGGAATGTGGTAATATCGCCTGCAAAATCCTGGTAATATAGCCTTGCAAATTCCGAAAGCATGAGTCACCGTTTGATCAGAACACCGAGGAGAGACCGACCTAATATACGACGATCCGATATTTGCAATAAGATGTTTTAGCAGATCATGATGTGCAGTAAGTTCGTTTGGAGTTGCGATTTAATACAGATTGTTTGCTCTCAGCGTTTTATTGCGTCAGTTTTGAACTACAGGCAATGAGTGCATTGTTGAAATTGTATAGCATAATAATATCAGTAGCGTATAATGACAAATTTGTCATTATACGCTCCTGATAATATATAGCTATAGTATAGCATGGGCGGATCCAGAGGGGGGTCCAGGGGGTCCGGACTCCTCTTTTTTACCCCCCAAAAAAGGGAAAAAAGGGAAAACACAAAAGATAATTTTCTGATAATAAAAGATAATAAAAATTTGGAATTCCATTTTGCATTCTAGACGTCAAAATTACTGCTCAGATGCTCTCAGAATGCACCAATTTAAAAAAAATTTCTTGGGGGAGGTCCCCCCCTTAAGTGGCAACGTGCCTTACACGTGCCACACGAGCGTATTTTTTCGCCCGATCGCGACGATTAAAATAGCCAGCGAATTTATATGCCCGATCACGAAGGCACATGTAGCGAATTTGAGAGCGTACGCGTATGCCACTCGACGGAATCACATGATCACATGATGTATCACATGATATCAACAAGTTCAAACACGTCCGATTGGTTTAAAAAAATCGATCGCTCGACAAAATACGCCGGACACGGGCAGACGAGCGAATTTGCCAGCGGATCTTCTGCCGGCGTAAATAATCGGCCGAAAATATCTAACATTTTTGATACGGGCGATTCGTACGGGCGTCGTGCGGCCGTACGAAATCATGGTCGACGTGAACGGGCACACAGGCGAATTTTTTGAGCGATTTTAAAATTTCCCGCGATCGGGCGAAAAAATACGCTCGTGTGTCCCCAGCTTAAGCTGCCTTTGGCACCTTTTTAAAACACCAGAAATATTAAGCAGGAAAAAGTGCCCTTTATTTCTTACTTCCCTTTTTCAAAAAGCTGGATCCGCCCATGTATAGCATAGCATTATAATGTAAAATTCAAATAAGAATGCTAGCAGCTTGATAAGAAATTATATTAGAGTTATAAAGTTTTGTCAATAGAATCGATCGTTCCAGTATCCGCACGTGACTCTACAATCGGTCCCAGCTGACAAATAACGATTTGCTTTCTAGAATTTTCCAGTCAGTATAGTAAAGTAATCTATATTCGTTGACTAAATTGTTTCTGCTAAAAGAGCAGAACACGTTTCTCACGTGTTTTTAACGCACGTTTCCTCATACAACATACATATATTCAAGCGTGAGATAATACTTGTATAAAATCAGGAGTAAATTAAAACAAAATTCGTTGTTATTCACTCCTGATAACGAATTACTAAAATACATAATTCATGATGTGATCAGGAGGGAATAATAATAGAATCTATTATTATTCACTCCTGATATGATGTATTGTCAGGGCCGTATGCTGAGCAAATTCCTAGGATGTGGCGGATCCAGGATTTCAAGGAGGGGGTGAGAAACCTGGGTGGGGGGTCTGGGGGTCCTCCGACAGAAAATTGTGAAACTGTAGATCGCAGGAGATGGTATTTGAGGCAATTTTGAGTGCATATACAGCCTTCATTCTGATTACCACAATTCTCTTTTAGTAGAACAATTTATTATTTTTATTTTGCTCCAAAATCTAGGGGGGCAGCTGCCCCCCGTGCCCCCCTCAGGCTACGGCCCTGATTATCGTACCTACGCCCACCAGCAGCCCTTCATGATGTGATCTGATGTGATAGCAGTGCATGGGCATAGTAATGCAGACGTATCTGCAGTTCATGCTGTATTCTCCCGACACATGTCCCAGTAGATACAATAATGTAACCCAAACACAGGATAGGGTTCCTGGCCTGTGTTTGGGTTACATTATTGTATCTAATGTCCCAGTAGCTGTGCTAGTGCGAAGTGCAAAGAGGCAGACCACTGTCTGTCAAAGGGGCGACACCTTTCTAAAATCTCAAATGATTTCAGAGTTGTGCATTTATGGTGTTTTGGTAATAATGTGTGCGTGCGTGCGTGTGCGTGTGCGTGCGCGCGTGCATGCGGGTGTGAGTGCTTGGCTGCGTGAGTGCTTGGCTGGGTGAGTGCGTGGGTGTGAGTGCTTGCATGCATGCCTGCGTGCGTGTGTCTGCATATAGCTGTAAGTTTGTGCTCATGCATTTTCAGGGTGTTACGAAAACGAAGACTTCGAAAACGAAGACCATGCAAAGACCTCGAAAACGAAGACCCTCTCAACCAGGCCATTAGTACCACAACATCGAGGAAGCGTCTGCTAGTGCCCTGACGTATAAAATATGGTATTTTGGCAGTTTGATGAGGGTCTTCGTTTTCGTAATTTGGGGGTCAAATCACGAAAACGAAGACCTCGCTAGATTTCATCGATAACGCAACGGATTCGCTCAAAAATACAGTACGAAGAACAGTCAGCCGAAGACTCATCATGCTTGTGGGAACACTGATTAATTTTGTCCCATTTTGATCAGCCGCCTTTCAGATCTACACATACGAGAGTAATAATATAATACTGGCTTTATTGGCATCTTGTAACAACTATTTACATCAATATATTGATCCAATAAAGAAATATGGAAAAGAGTATATTGTGATGAAACACGAATAGGCCCCTGGGCACTAGCAGACTCTTCCTCGATGTTGTGGTACTAATGGCCTGGTTGAGGGTGTCTTCGTCTTCGAGGTCTTTGTTTTTGTAACACCCGCATTGTCATGCTGTTCTATTCATGCTTTCAGCAGTCACTGTAGCATACACATGTGTCTACGGTATACATTCCATAGAATGTATTGCTGTTTGTGACAATACCAGACGGTTGTCATGGAAACAACATGGAAGCTGCAAACGAAAATACTCAAATAATTTCTAATGCGCAGCAGATCGATTTTATCATACACGTGTTTTCACCGTCGTCGTGACTAGATTTGAAATGTAATAGACGTTGAATAGCAATCTAGAATGGAAGTTACGAACGCTGAAAATAATAAAGAAAAGAAATAAACTCTGCAATGGCAGCTGTAAGTAGCAGCCTTCTGTTTAGATCAATTTCTGTGTCACTGTTATGAATTTGACGTATTCTTACCTACAATTTAGGAGTAATATGAACTTTGCATCAACATCGGATCAACATTGTGATAGTAACATTTTGTGATATTTCTGGTAATATCTGTTTTGAACAATGCCACTGGTGCCTATACAGGGCCGTAGCTGCCCCCCTAGATTTTGGAGCAAAATTAAAAAATAAGCTTAGCTAATAATCGTAAATAACCCTAACGTGATTTTTTGGTCACTTCTTCGTGAAAGCCGTGTCTCAGACCCACCCCTTGGACGTCGATCAAAAGCTGCATCCATCGATCGCTCATCATTACACAGTTGAGTCATGAAATTTTGCTGTCCCCCCTAGGAATTTGCTCAGCCTCTATGGCCCTGCTATATATCTCTGTACATGCATTCCTTACATGCACAGTACACGACTATACAGCCACTGGCATTCCCAGGTCTTCATTTGGCCTTATCACACCTTTCGCGATAATAAATGGTTTAGCAAAGGTCATTTTCATGTTTACAGCTTGGCTCCTGCACATTTTCGGTGGTCTCGGTATTACTGTTGGGGCACACAGACTATGGACTCACAAGAGCTACAAGGCAAAGTTCCCCCTGCGTCTGTTCCTAGCCTTCCTAAATACAATAGCACTGCAGGTAAGTTGTTCAGCATATATATATATATAGATATCAGGAGCGTATAATGACAAATCCTGATATATATATATATATAATCAAATATAAATATAATATATATATATATATATCAGGAGTTAATAAAGACAAATATATATATACATATATACATATATATATATGAATATACTGATATATATACATATATATATACGTATATTTTCTTTCTGTCTGAGGAAGAGATTTTCACTTGAAAGCTCACTTAAGTATAGATAACTTTCTTGCATATATACTCTATGTAATTATAAATATAAATATAAATGTACATGTATATAAATAAATAAAGATAGATAGAGAAACACAAAAAAGCACACAGATACCAATTGATTCATAACATAAAAATAAACAAAATAAAATATAATAAGATGTCATAAATTTATTGATATTGATCATCATTGATACCTTTTTCTATGTTAATTTATTTCAATTAAATTCATTGTTTTAAATTAATTTAATTGTGTTAAATAAATGATATCTCTGACTCTCAGTCTCAGTGTGTAAAGCACACCCCACAATGCATGCATGTGTACCAGTGTGTGCGTGCGTGCATGCGTGCGCACACATGTGTATGAGTCACGTAGCAAGTGCTCATATTCTCTCAATGCTGTAGTGCTCAATGCTGCAATAGTGAAACCAAAGTTTGAGGAAGTGCCTTTGTGGCAAAACAGTGTGCAAACAGTTATTTCTACGTACTTACATATTGACATATTTGAACAAGAATCGTAGGCGAGTGTTATGGGGTATGGTTCCACATACGGGATGGGCTTCAAGGTTGGCGGCATAGCTGGGCAGTGTGTTAGCAATAAAAGGCCGTTAGTGTTAGTCTCGCCAGGTTCCTCCAATATTTGCTAGGTTTCCAAAGACGCTGCATAGCTGTATTTTTCTCCCACGCATATAGCTTTTCTTTACTGTGTGGAACTTGGGTGGGTGTGAATAATGGTGGCTAGGTAACTAATAATACCTAGGTATATTTATTATATATTATATAATATAATACATATATATTAGCCATCATCATTCCACCGTGACTCGCATGACATTTCTACAAAAATCACACTTTTAATGGTCTGGCAGTCCTATATTAGCTTGCTAGCTGCGCTCATTGGGTCTATATGTCCCCCAGGGTACTGCCGGAACGTACTCTGGGTACGGTCCGGTATACCGGAACGTACCCTGGTAACTATCTAGCTGATATGGTTAGGGTTAGGGAGTAGGCGTAGGCGACTCCCTCGACTCGTAGTGGAGTAGGCGAGGTACGGTCCGGCATATTAGATATTAGTATTTAGTACCAGGGTACGTTTCGGTATACCGGACCGTACCCAGGGTACGTTCCGGCAGTACCCTGGGGGACATAGACCCTCTCAGCGCTAGCTGCTACTTGTTTTAAGAAACGATATTAGCAAAGGCACCAGATATGCATATTTTAGCATTGAAGTTAGTGCAGCCACACTAATATTTTCTCAGATATCACAAACTATTCTGCGTGACTCGCGTGACAGGCTACTAACACATGTTTTGAATTATACTTCACACAAAGAGTTTTCGTAGAATATTATAAGTTCTGATCGGAGTTATTCGTGGTGAACTAGGTACCTATTAGTATTACCTTTCATCACTCAATACATCATTTGCACTGCTAGAAACCCCTTCTGAAGTGACTAACATCCTCTTAAGTATGTGACTCGCGTGCAATCAAGGCCGTACGCAGGAAATTTTCTGTAGGGGGGCAAATACGCAGGAGATTTTCTGTAGGGGGGGCAAAGGTACTCCCCACGCCCTCTATTGCCCTATTTGTCCCATTAAAAGGCATACTCTGAAAATCTCTAGGGGGGGGGGGAACTGCCCCTGCTGCCCCCCTGCTGCGTACGGCCCTGCGTGCAATAGTAGCTCATAGCGTTAACAAATGTTAGGGTGATCAGAATTTTGATGACTGAAATGTTATGATCCATGAAGAAAAAGTTAATCTATCAAAGGCTAATAATAAATACATTACATGTATATTATATATATATACTAGCAAGGTACCCGTCCTTTGGACGGTGGGAATTCATGAATCAGTGTATTAGTGTTGTAGCTCACCTAAGGATCAATGGCTTCTTTGTAAAGTATGTTTTTGGTCTTCGTGTGCTGTGTGTGAATGAACATCGCCCTGGGTTTGCCTACTTGTGAGAGGGCAACATAGAGCATGCCATGGAAGAAGACAGGTGTGGTCAGGCCCAAGCCTATATGGTAGTGAAAGTCTATGGTAGTGCATGATGCTCACGGTTGCGGGCATATGCTGTGAATGTAGAGATGCATAGTTTAGCTGAGAAGATGTACTTTGAAGAAGTAAAATAGAATAACAAAAGGTTTATTTGATGAGATTTACAGGTGATGGACACTAGATTACAGAACTTCATGTATACAACTTGGTAGTGTAAGTAAACAGAGTCTGATTCCCTTGAGTTTTGGTTTGTGAGTAGTTCGGACAGTTGCAAGCTATTATCTAGGCAAAATAGATTTAGAACATAAAGAAGTCCACGTGAATTGGCGCTTGAGAGAAGAGGGTTTTGGAGGAAAATCGACCCAGCTTTTCTTGAAAGTTTGAAAGCCTTGCGCTTTATTGATGGTGATGCATGTAAGGCAAGGCGATCGGAACTGGCGGCGTTGAGTGTGCTAAAATGATTAGCTTGACATCGGATGGGAGGCTAATATTTATTCCTTGGGTAATTAATGTCCGGGCGCACTGCGAGGGCCGCGGTGAGTATTTCCCATCAAATTAAGTAGCGTGTTTAGTGAAGTCTATGGATTTTGAGTCTAGTAGCCATTAGCAAGAGTCATTCTCGAATAGTTTAGAACTTCAGTTTTCAGTGATTAGTTTGCTATATTGTTTTTGTGAGCAGGCTTGGATATGGTTTTTGGGGGCAGAGATTTTATCGCGAAGCGTCGCTTTTAGCTCATCTGACATCAGTCAGATGCAGGCTTGTAGAATCGGCATGATCGTCCCGTGCGTGCGTAGCGTCCGTACCGTCAACAGTTGGGGTACACTAAATGCTTAACGCGCTCGACGTAGCAGGTCGAGCGATATTCGGACGTGGGGGGGTAATGCGCGAAAACGGATGTTTTGGGATGTCGAGCTGGGGGTCAAAGTCAAAGTCAAAGAGGTGTAAAGAAGGGGGAAAATTCAGCGCCCTTTACTTAAAGGTATAGGGAGGAAATGGCAGAATTGCGGCACAACATGCCTAAACGGCTCGACCTAGCTCGATGATAGTCCGGTGTATAGGATCATGGTAGGAAAAGCCATCACTGTGCGAAATTGCGTCACAGGTCGAAGTCAATGGGCACAGGCAGATTTTAGACATTTTTGAAGGACAATGGTGCTGACGGAGGGCGATTGAAAAAGCTTTTGTGTGCAGCGGTGACGCATAAGCATTTTTATGGCTTCATTGAAAGGACCCAATGAAATCTAGCTTTCTGCTGACATGGCGAAGAGTAAGTGTCAGATAACCTTTTGAACCCTCAAGAGGAGGGTTAAACATGGATTTGTTGAGCTGTCTGAGAAATAGAATTTGACTGCGACGGTTGCTAGTAGAATGCTATACATGCCTGGCTGTAGTGAGGCTACATATGTCAGCAGTGAAATTTCAAAGAGCTAAAATTTGGTTAAAGAAGGTTATGCTCCTAATCGATAATAATTTATATGGCACTTCTGTAGCTGTCAGGTATGTTACATGTAACGTATTGCCTACTGCCAATGGTCTACTGGGTCCCCCGCAGTGGCATGTGTTGGTGTACTGTGGAGTTTTTGCGCACTTAATTGGTTACAGGTGGCAGCTCTCTTTTTTGCGCAGACCTGTAGGCTTGCGTAGGTAAATGGATGAGTGCTTAACGCTATTCTGTCTTGGCAGATAGTTGTTGCTACTACGTATGATGGAGGGGCTTGCCATCTTTATCTGAAGACAGCTTAAACGTACTGCGCATCATCGTGCAACTTCATAACAATCCAGAACAACATTCCTTTTAGGAAGGTTCCTGATACGCGGCATCCGAATGTGCATTCCACTGTTTCCGGCGTGTCATGTTGAAGCACATTTTGGACTAACAGGGTTTAGCTAAATGGCGCCAGACCACTGCTCTTAAACCAGCAGAGTCAGCCGGCAGTAGACGTGTAGATGAGCGCTGATACGCTCTGCGCACTTGTTAGTTTCATGTAATTGCCTGACTGTCCTGGGACACTGAGTAACTGAAAAACTGATCCTATTGGAGCGGTGGGATTCATGAGTGAATTGTATTAGTGTTGTAGGCTTCACACTAAGGATCAGGGGCCTTCTTTGTAAACTACTGTTTTTAGCGTGCATCTGCCATAGGTCAGATGGCAGCTTGTAGAATCGCCATGACTCGTCCGTGGCTTGCGTGTTGTTTTTGTTTTTTGTTTATGCGTCGGCCGTCTCCGTGGCGTCAAAGCAGTTGGGCAGGCAATCTCTTAAGCAGCGCTCGACGTACGGTCACGATATTGCGGGCACAGTCGGGGGGGGGATCGTCAAACAGAGTTGGATGTCGAAGCTGGGGGTCAAAGGTCAGAAGGGCTAAGAGGTGTAAAGAAGGGGGAAGCATTCAGCATCCTTAAGCTTAAGGTATACGGGAGGAAATGCAGAATTGCGGGGCAGCAAATCTAAACGCTCGTCCTAGCTCGGATAGTCGGTGTATACGCATCAATGGTAAGGAAAAGGCCATCACTGTGGGGCCGAAATTGGAGGTACACAGGTCAAAGGTCAATGGGCACACCTCCTTGCCTCTCGGGCTGCTGGCGGGCAAAGATTTTAGACATTTTCTGAGACATGGTCTGACGGAGCGTTGGAAAAACTTATTTTGTTTCAGCGGTGACCTAGCATTTTTATGGCTTTATTGAAAGGTACCGATGAAATGTCCCTTTTGCTGACATTTGGTTCGAAGAGTAAAAGTTTGTCGGATTAACCGCTTTT